ATAAATGCGTTTAAAAAGGTATATAATTTATAACAGCAACGTTGACAGAGCTTTAACTACACTACAAGAGCTAAACCATAATCTATTTACATGTGAGTGGTGCTGAGCGTGTGGGCGCGTCTCTGTCGATGGGTTTCCATGTGATTCCTCCATAATTTCCGCCAGTGATCGTAGGAAAAGGGACATTAAACCCGGAGTATTGATAATACTTTTACAGCTTCTGCTTTGGGGAAATGCATTACTGCTAAATTAGTCCCTGAAAAAAAAAATCTAAGAGATATTAACACTGTGGAGCATGAAGGCAGATGGGATTTGGATCAGAGACCTTTATTTGGAGCATTTGATGCCGAGGAGTCGTTTCTTGAGAGCAGGAACTTTTTGTTTTCCTCGAATATTAACTGGAGTTGGGGATTTTCCTTCTGCTCATCATAAAAAGTGTAAATGGGACTCGCCTGGTATTGATTTTTCTGACACTCTTAAAAAGATGCTTAATGAAACTCTGGGTACCTGGATAAAGACCTTCACTGAATGCAAACTGAGCTTAATTGCACTTCCCTTAACAAGCTGCTGAAGATGAATTTTTTTTTTTTTCCCTCTGACAAAGCCCTTTCACCTGTTTAAATTGTTTCTCTTCCTGTGTGTGCCTGGATGCATTAATTCAGTGCTTTTTTTTTCTTTTTTTTTCTTTTTTTCTTTTTTTTCTTTTTTTTCTTTTTCTTTTTTCTTTTTCTTTTTTCTTTTTTCTTTTTCTTTTTTCTTTTTCTTTTCCTTTTTTTCCTTTTTTCTTTTTTTTTTCTTTTTTCTTTTTTCTTTTTTTTCTTTTTTCTTTTTTTTTTCTTTTTTTTTCCTTCTTTTTCTTTTCTTTATCTTTTCACCCCCCTCTGTGAGACCCAACTGCAGCTCAAAGGCAGGAAAACTTCTTTAGCAGTTTGTGCACGGAAAAAATATTTTAATCTCGGGGAAAAAAATTGATTTTGGGGGTTTCAATGAAAGGTTCTAGTCTTGAAAAAAGAGTAACTCTCCCTCTTCTTCTGCAGAGAGAGATGGGCGTGGAGGAATGTTCTGGCTTTGCACAACTGAATTCCAGCAAAGCCAGAACCCAAACTGGGGTTTTCCTGGTGTTTGTCCCCAGAGCTGCCAGGTCCTGCCAGGTCCTGCAGCTCAGCCAGAGCAGGGGCAGGACTTTGAGTTTTACTCCCCAGTGCTGCAGGTCCCCAAATCAACCAGGAAGGGAAGGAAGGGGTCCAGGTTATTCCCTGGATTGCAGAGAGTGGGGTTGGTGCTCTGAGGTTGTGTTCCCTGATCATGGAATGGTTTGGGTTGGAAGGGGCCTTAAAGCTCATCCAGTTCCACCCCCAGGGACACCTTCCTCTATCCCAGGTTGCTCCAACCTGGCCTTGGACACTTCCAGAGATCCAGAGACAGCCACAGCTTCTCTGGGCAACCTGTGCCAGGGCCTTCCCACCCTCCCAGGGAAGGATTTTTCCCTGAATTTCCCAATATCCCATCTGTCCCTGCCCTCTGGCAGTGGGGATCTGTTCCCCCTCGTCCTGGCACTTGGAAATAGTCTCGTGGTGACTCTTCCTCCTGTGGGTCCTGCCTGTTCTCCCTGCTCAGAGCCCTGGCAGTGCCAAAGCAGGTTCTTTTTGGTCTCTTCTCTCGGTGGTTTTTCCTCCCCCAGTGCCAGAGGTTTTGTCTCTGCCTGATGCCAGGTCTGGGTGACCTCCCTGAGTCCTCCCTGGTGTGGCCTCTATGACCTGTCCAAAGGCACTGGACTTCTCCTGGAGACACCAGGGACACATCTGCCCCCTCTGGAATTGCTCAGAATTTAGAAGGATAAAAGATAAAGTATAAATCTGTGTTAATTCCACAGAAAGCCTCCAAACTCCCCTGCTGCTGCAGGAGGTGCCAGGCAGCTCAAAGATGGTACAACCTCATCTTTCCTGTGCCACAAAACAAGAAATCCAGGTCTTCAACCCCCCCTGGGGACAGCAAACAGTGCCAGGGGAGCCCCTGGGTGAGGTTTGAGCCCGAGAAACCTCTTGTTTTTTCCCTCAGAGTCAATCTGGGTTTTGTTTGTGCTCCAAAGAGCGACAAGTCGGGGGATTTTGCTGCAGATTCCATCAGGAAGATGGAGCAGCACTGCATCAGGTGCAGGGTAATTATTTGCCGGGGTTCTGTGCCTATTTGGTTTTTTATTCCCTGTGTTTTCATTAAAAGCTAATGAGTTTTTTCTTCATCAGAACAATAGCTTGGCCCCTGACAAGTTGCTGGTTGTTTTTTTTCTGCTTGGACTCAACTGGCTGTCGCTGCTCCATAAACTTTATGGAGAAGGGGATTAAAGCACAGAGAAGTTCTGGTGATGCAAATCCAAATGGAAAAGCCGTAGGATTAGTTTCGAGCAACAGAGTTTTTTTATTTTGGTTTCTGTTTTGTGACTTCTGTGGTGTTTGAAAACATTCTTAATGGAAGCAAACACCTTTGTTTGGGTTGATTTGTGAGCAGCAGCTCGCACAGTCCGTGCTTGGAAGGCTCCCTGGACGGGGAGATTTTTGTATATTTGATTATTTTCTAGCTGAATTATGTTTGGGTGGGTTATGGGTGAATTATATTGGGGTGAACCCCTGGTTTCCCCTCCTGCACGGGGACGAGGGCGAGCACGTTTACGGTGATATTCCCAGATATTCCATGTGTGGGAATTGCTCTGGGACCTGGGGCTCCACGGTTGGTGTGTGGAGCAGCTTCTCCTGCTTTTTACACCCATGACTTATTCCTGCAAGGAACTTTACTGCTGGGGGGGCCCTTGTTCCCGTTCCAAGTGGTTTCAGTGCAGCCGCGCTCGGGCGCTCCCGGTGCCGGGGCCCGGGAACACTTTGCTCGTTATCCCCATAATCCTGCACCTGGATCTCGTTAGGAGGGACCACCTGTTACCTCTGGAAAAGCAGCTTTAACACCGTGTTAAACCCCGGGCTGGGAGAAAAATGTTCTTTTTCCAGGGGCTGAAGGGGCTGGTGGAAGGCGTCCGGTGGCGCCGGCGCATCCCTGTGGCAGAGCACGGGGAGGCTCCTCCTGGGAACAAACCCCCCCAGCTGCTTCCCTTTGGTAGCAGCTTTTTATTAGAGCCTTTTTTATAGGGGTGAAGCAGGGAAGAAACATCCCCCTGTCACACAGAGCTGAGCAAAGCACTGAGAGGGCTCGGCCAAGGTCGGGCGGTCAGTGGAGCGCTCGGGGATGTGCTTGGAGTGCTCAGGGATGTGCTCAGGGATGTGCTCAGCAGAGCAGGGGCTTTGTCTCTGCTTTTTAACCCCTCACTGGGTAGTTTTTACCTCCTGGAGGTGCCTGAGTGAGTTTTGGTTTCTTGCAGAAGGCAGGAACGTGCTTGGCTTGGTCTTCATGGCCGAGCATGAACGTGCGGGTGGATGATCCCAGGGATCCATCAGGAGGGATCAGAACCTGCCCTTTTGGGGCCAGGGGACCCTCAGCTCCCTCCTTGGCACGAGGAGTGAGCAGTGCAGATGGTGCTGCACGATGGCACCTCCCCAAAGGACAGGAGTTATTTTCTGAATTTCCTTTTTTTTTCCTCCGGAATCCGATGGTTCCACCCTGAGGCTGCTGGAAGCAAAGTGGGAATAGAGCCAGGAAAAGGGTTTTATTGCTGCTGCTTGGGCTCTTCCCCTGTCAGGAAAGCTGGAATGGCCTCAAGGATGGACTGCCAGGGACCCCCATGTTGTGTCATTGACCCCCCAGAAGCCTTTGGTGAATCCCAAAGTCAAATCTCCCATCGGATTTTCCAAGACCTTTGAGATTTTGGCATCAACGAGGCTCTCCCAGTGTGATTTGTGCTTTGATGAGCCGAGCTGGGGGAGGACAATCTTGTGCATCATGTTCCTCACAGCCAGATTGTTCCTTTGGATGTAGAACTGGAAGTTTTGTTGAAAACCTGCCCTTGACTGCAGGACCTGGGGGGTCTGAGGGAGCTCCAGGCTGCAACCTGGGCTGTTAAAAATAAACCACCTCCCAAATATTGTGTCTTTCTGCAGCTGAGGCTTTAACAGCATCTCCACTCTGGTTCTTGGAGAGGGGGGGGAGAGGGTTGGAACCTCCCTGGTGCCCTTTCATCAGGGCTTGATTTAAAACTCCTCTGTTTGCCGAGATAAAACTTGGGTTTGGTGTTTGAGCACAATTAAACATCAGCTGAAAACTCCCCTTTCTTGCTGTTTGGTGGGTGTTGAATGAGCCAGCAGCTGTCTTTGCCTCTGCTATCAGCAGCCTGGGCTCTGTGTGTTCAGGAAACATCAGCTTGAAAAGACCCCCTTTTCACTTTGTTTAGGGGTGAGTGGTGTTTTCCTTTCCAGGTAGGCCAAGTGCTCCATTTACATTAAAATTTGCTATTAACATCTGTCACTGTAGAGCCTTAAAGTGCCTCCTGCAGAAAATCCAATATCAGTTGCAAATTCCACCCAGCAAAAAAAATTGGATGCATCCCCATCAAAGTGTGGGGATGGAAGAGCTCCTGTCTCCACCCCCAGATGTGGGGCTTTGGTAATTTGTGTCAACCCCTTTATCCCTGTCACTCCTCAATGAAGGATCTCGAAGCTTTTTTCCTAAAACACAGGGAGATTATTCATCCTGGTGGAGCAGGTGGCACAGTCCTCTGCTTTACACGTGGATGATTTATGGGGAGGTTGTTTGCTGAGAGTGAGAACAAGGAGTTTTGATGGACTTCTGATAGTTCGGCCCCAAAAATTGGTGTTTTCAGCTCCTTCCTCGTGTGCCTTCCAGGAATGGAGGCTGCACATACCCAGCACGAGTGTTCTGACAGCAGGAATTACACTGCCTTGGCCCTGAATGATGGATCTGGCCTTAAATCCCTTAAAACCCACAAACCCTTTGGGGTTTTGTAGAGAAGTTCAATGGGAACTGGGAGGAAACGCAGCAAAGGCAGGAATATTTGGATTTGAGGATGTATCCACTAAAATCAGGGTCTCTTCTCTTTCCAGGGGAGGATCAGCATGAGCCCGGCTTTGGACAGGACAGTTCTGACGAAAACCAGAGCTGCAGTTTGGCCCCTTCCATGACATCCCTTCCCTCAGACCTCCAGGAGGATGGTGAGTCACTGATGGTTCTTGGAGTTCTTTGAGTGGAGAAGGTGGAGAGCTGGGTGTGATCCCTCAGGAATTCCTCGTCTTCCACCCATCTCACGTGGTTTTGGCTTTGATTTTGGGTGGTTTTGGGGTTGGTTTGGTGACTTTGTCGATGACCATGAAATGTGATGACCCTGAATTTAATATTCCTGAGGTTTTCACGTGTTTCTTGATCATCTCTGT